AGAAAAGAGAAAACAATATAACAAAACCCAAAACAAGTCTTGCTAGCAAGGGTTGGAGAACCTGAAATGCTTCTCTACAACTGGTGGGAAGTAAGGTGGTATAGATATTGTCTATAATTGTTTGACAGTTCTTTAAAAAGCAAATAAAATAAAACTACCACGTGGCCCAGCAATCCTACTTCTAGACACCAAAAAGAGGAAAAAGAGGAACTCATATAGATATTTGTGTGTTCTTTTATATAGCAACACTATTATTCAGCAACACTATTACTCTTAGTAGCCAAAACATGGTGGATCAGTAAACAAAGTGTGATATATGTATAAACACCACATACATACACACACACAAACACACACACACGTTAGAAAAGATGAAGTCATGAAATTTACATACAAGTGGTACTACATGGAAAGTATCACATTAAGCGAAATGAGTCAGAAAGAACGGGATAGACACAAAAAGACTGCATTTATCTGGGGAACATAAAGTAACAAAATGGGAGACTAACACCCAGGAGTGGCCAAGATTAGTACCAGGAATTTTGCTCTATGACTTGGAGGCTAGCCACATGTGCTAGGGGAAAAGGAAGCTCAGATAGAGAAGGGAGCACCAAATAAAGGGTGTTGGGAGTATCCTCCCAGGATGGGAGAAGCATACTGAAAGTAGACTATAGACTAAACATGATTGCCACTCAATGCCTCTCTTGCAAACCACAGGACCCAAAAGGAGAGAGAGACAGAGAGAGAGAGAGAGAGAGAGAGAGAGAGAGAGAGAGAGAGAGAGAGAGAGAACAAAAGGGAATGCCCTGCCACAAACGTAGGGTGGGATGGGGGGACTGGGGGTGGGAGGGATGCTGGGACCCGTGGTGGTAGAGCATGGGCACTGGTGGAGGGATGGGTACTTGATCATTGTATAACTGAAACCCAAGCACAAAAATTTGTAAGTCTATAACCGTACCTCATGTTGTTTCACTAATAAATAAATAAAAGAGAGGAAATTCTGACATAATACTACAACATGGAAGAAACTTGAGACCATTATTCTAACTAAAATGGGCTGGTCAAAAAAAGATAAATAGTGTCTGATCCACTCAAATGAAGTTATCTAGAATGATTAAATTCATAGAAACAGGAGAATAGGGGCTGAGGGACAGGGATTTGGGGTGAAATGGGTAGTTGGTTAATAGGTACTGAGTTTCAGCTCTGCAAGATGAAAGCATTCCAGAAATTAGTTGCATAACAATGTAAATATACTTAATGATAATAAGTATATGACTAAAATAGCTAAACTGATACATTTTGGGGGGGGTTCTCACAAGTGGTGTTCAAGAGGTCTGGAGGTCTTCCCGGCAATTCTCATTCAACCAGGCTGGCAGTTCAATGCATGTGTCTGAGGACAAAGGTCTCCAGGGCCACAGTAAACAATGCTGGGGGTCATAGAGAAGCACCAGGCAATTATCAGGGTACTATGGGGTGCCAGGGATGACACTGGAGTTTCTGCAAGGCTTACACCTAAGCCCCTGTACAGTCTCTACAGCCCACAAATGGAAATTTTTGTTATGTGTGTTTATTTTTTTTTAATTGAATGACCATGAATTACAAAGCTACAAAGATATTTATGGTTGATTTTTCAGGCCTATAATGTTCCAACACCAATCCTTTCACCAGTGGCCACTACCCTCCATCAATGTCCTCAGTTTCCCTCCCACTCCCCAGCCTCTACTTTTACTCTCCCCCATTGTTCTGCTGCTCCCTTCCCTAACTTATCCCCTTGCCCCTTCCCCAGTGCCAAGATCTTCCTACTGAAGATCCATTCTCTGTCTCTTCATTTTCATTGCCATTGGGCATTTGATATCCCCCTACAAGGTTTCTTTATATACCATGTTATGTGTATTTAAATACAATTTTAATTATACTTACAGGATGTTCCATATCACTAAACATAATGTTTTGGAGCCAGAGAGATAGTACAGGGCTTTAGGTGCTTTCCTAGTATATAGCCAATTCTGGTTGAATCCCTAACACCATATATTGCCCCCCTGAGCATCACCACAAGTGATTCCTGAGCACAGAGCCAAGAATAAAGCCTGAGCACCACCAGGTATGGCCCCCCCAAAAAATAAAAAAAATTAAACATTTTAATAAACGTGTGAAGTAACCTTAACTTATAAATCCATAGTAATACTTTTGGTTTATATAGAAAATGTTAATTTTCAGTATCAACATGTACAAAATGTTATAACACTCATATATCTTTTTAGATATAACATAAAGACTGGAAATTTTAAGTAATACAATATTTACTTTTCAAAAATTAATAAATGTATAGGAATGGTTCCCCTCTGTTGACGATCGAGGATCAGGGACGCTGCCTCTTTTACCAAGGCATCAAAAATCAGATGGGCTAGACACATAATGCAATTTGGAGACGACTGCTGGACTAGAGCTATTACCAACTGGATTCCATGGGATGACAAAAGAACACCTGGCCACCCACCTATGAGATGGTCAGACTTCTTCGTCAAGACCCTGAATGAATGGTTTGATGCTCTTCGTGTTCCTGGAGTGAGCAGACACCACTAGGCTATACTAGCACATGACAGGGACAAGTGGAGATGTTACTGGCACCCGCTGAGCAAATCGATGAGCAACGGGATGACAAGTGATACAAGTGATAGGAATGGTTACTAAAGAAAGGACATAATCAAGTTTTTGGAGCAACAGTACAGGGGGTAAGGCATGTGTCTTGCATGTGGATGTGGCTGACCTATGTTCAATTCCTGGTGGCACATATGGTCTTATGGTCTCCAGAGCACTTCTCAAAGTGACCCCTGATCCCAGAGCTAAGAGAATTCCCTGAGCACTGCCAGGTGTGGGCCAAAAATTAAAAGAAAAATAAATGGTTTCTTATCAAAGTCTACTGCTCCATTTCCTATTAAAAATCCCTTTTATTTGGAGGATTCAAAGAATTTCCCCAATCTCAGGGCACTAGAAAATAAGAATTTTATCTGTTTGAGCCTCAAAATACACAACAAATATTCATTCCAGTGTTTCCAGGAAAATGCTGAACTGGGAGTAAATACAGCTTTGCAGCCAACTCCATCATCACCCCAAACCATTCCCCATTACTCTCTATTCTCAACCTGAGTCTGATAGCTGAGGGAAAGTTTACAAGCAAATATGAAGTGTCGATATTTCTTAAAATTCACTGGTCAGTCTCAAGATGTCAAAAACATATTTGACCATTGGGATTCAGTGGGAAAAATTAAATTTAGACATAATTTGCAAATTTAGACATAAGTTCAAACATAGTTTTATTCAATAGTAGCCCTGCACTGTAGCACTGTTCTCCCATTGTTCATCGATTTGCTTGAGCCGGCACCAGTATCGTGTCACAACAAATTGTGAGACTTGTCATTACTGTTTTTGGCATATCGAATACATCACAGTTAGCTTGCCAGGCTTTGCCATGTGGGCAAGATACTCTCTGTAGCTTGCTGGGCTCTCCGAGAGGGGCAGAGGAAATGAACCCAGGTTGGCCACGTGCAAGGTAAACACCCTACCGGCTGTGCTATCGCTCTAGCCCAATAGTGCATTTTCAATTTGATCTGAAAATAAGTACTTGAAAATAAAGTCTATGTGAAAACAGAATACTAAAAATACTGACATCATTTTATGCGAGGCAAACATCAAGGAAGTAACAATGTAACACCTTTAAATCAAAAAATATATAAAAGCAAGCCAACTTTACTGCATTTAGTGTGTCAACCTTTGGAGATACTTAGTTGTATTATATAGACTGACAAACCCTAGACCACTGGCTCAGACACACTAGACTCTTGTGTGTTTGTGTGTTATCAACAATCATGCTAGGATGACACTTTGATAAACAATGCAAACATACAACCAGTAATATGAGAATTAGAAAATGTTATAGGTATCATCTTATTATTAGATTTCATTTAATAAAAATTAGATTTCATTTAACCTGCCATATACAGGAATCCTTTCTACAATGTTGAATGATAACTGATTTTGATAAACAAAAATTTCAACATTTACATTTGTCAACAGGCGAAAAATAAGCTATACAAAAATAAGCAAAGAAATATCTCTACAAGTCATGAAGTTTAATCACTTATTTTAACAACATTCTCTATGCTTGAAACAGAGTGAATTCTTCTTGGAACTTCTTTTCGTAACATTTTTATTGAAGTACCAGGACTTACAATACTGTTAATCATGCTTCTTATGCATATATCATTCCAATACCACACCCATGACCAGAGATCCTGCTTGCCTTCACAGATGTCCCAGGGGCCCTCTCCAACCGCCCATGTAAACTCAGTTCCATAAACAAAGTCTCCAGTACCAGTGACTCTGGCCATTTATTGTTCTCTTACTATGTTTATTTCTATCCCACATATAAGAGAAATCTTTTTCTTTATTTATTGTGGTAATGGTGACACCTACACTACCTACAGCTGATGAATGCTAAAATTCTGACATTTTTTAATACATATCTGAGCATCAAACACAGACACAAATTCCAAAAGAAAAAATTAGTTTCATTCTGGTTTCTGATCAATATCACAGCTATCTAAAACCACTCCAGATCTAGATGACTTGAGACTATGTCTCGAAGATACTCTCAGGAGGATGAGCTGTACCACCTCCCAGAATGTGTAAAGGATTGCCCAGAGGTTCGAGAAGCACTTCCCAAAGGGAACCACTGGGAGTGTTTCAGGCAGAGAAAGGGAAAGTAACTTCTCAAAAAGACCCCTTTTTCACACGATGATATGAATGGATTAAAGGTGTGTTAATTTTCCATGATGTACACCTGTAACTTAAGCAGTATTATAATGCAATGGTACTTCAACTGAGAAAAAAATGTCTTAAACAAGCAAGATTACATTCACTTAGATATGGAAGTTCAAGTGTAATATATTATAAAACATTACTGACTGCATGCCAATGGTTTTGAGAAAAGAAGTTATTACCTATTACTGTTCATTAACAGATGTCAATGGAAGTTCCTTTTGCTCTTCCTGCTTTATCAGAGTGGCTGCAAAGATTTCACCAACACTTGGCACTGCTGAATAGTCCCAGAAGGTGGCTGTCCAAAATCTGCAAAAGAAATCAAAAAGGTCCCACAAAATTAATTAACTGCAAACATATCCAAATTCCTCTAATATTTCTCTCTTTCCATTGACCAACACTGGTTGTGCTGTAAGTGGGTTCTGCTCAGACTACACTTAACTTTATCATTTAAATTTTTCTCTTAAATAACAGTAATTTTTAAACAAAATATATATCTTTACTTATAAATCTGAATTCTAGACAAAATTATCCCAAAGGATAGCAGAAAGTAGGGAAGGAATCTTTTGTATTCCAAGACATGAAATAAATTATATGCTTCTTTTAAAGATCCTTTACTCAAAGCAAAACTAAACAAATCCCAATCCATGAAACAGTACACCACACTGATGATAAAGTATACAGTAGAAAGAGATTGCTACAAGTAACTTTTATAAGCCACCTTTGAAAATGTACTGGAGCCAGAGAGACAGCTCAACAGGCTTGAGCACATGCTTTGCACATGCTTTGCATGTAGGAATCCCTGGCTCTAATCCCTTGTACCACATGATCCCTGAAGCAACCTCTGAGCACTGAGCCAGGCATGACTCCTAAGTACTATAATTTATGGCCCAAAAAAAGCAGAAAGAAAAATTGCAATATTTCCTAATTCCTAATGTATATTAAAAAATAAATTTGCATGTAGGAATCCCTGGCTCTAATCCCTTGTACCACATGATCCCTGAAGCAACCTCTGAGCACTGAGCCAGGCATGACTCCTAAGTACTATAATTTATGGCCCAAAAAAAGCAGAAAGAAAAATTGCAATATTTCCTAATTCCTAATGTATATTAAAAAATAATTTCCTAACCTGAACAAAGTCAAGCTTTGACTGGGACACAGAACAGACTGCTGGGGGTGGGGGGAGAGGGGTCGAGAGCAGCAGTGGGGAGAGGGGGTCGGGACACAGTGCTATAAGCATAAAGGGTGGAGAGGGTCCAATACAGACAATAGTGGAGGGATTTTGGCACTTTGGCACTTTAGTGGTGAGTGTGGTTGGACAACTTACTTCAGAAGCGTGTAAGAAAGCACAAACCAGAAAACATAAAATCTTGTATATTAATGTCATCTAAAACTTCTTTAAGAGAGGGTGTGGGGGGATGACAGAGGGTTTGTGCCACACCTGATGGTGCAAAGGCCTTACTCCTAGCTCTACACTCAGAGGTTACTCCTGGGGGTGCTCGGGGGACCATATGCAATGATGGTGTCCAGTGATGGTCACATGCAAGTACTTCTGTATTCTCTCCCTAGTGTGCCCTCCCATAAATCTTGATTTTTTTTTTGCTTTTTTGGGTCACACACAGGCAGGGGTTATTCCTGGCTCTGTACTCGGGAATACTCCTGGTGGTGCTCAGGGGACCATATGGGATGCTGGGAATCGAACCCGAGTCAGCCACGTGCAAGGCAAATGCCCTACCCACTGCGCTATTGCTCCAGCCCCTAAATCTTAATTTTAAAAGAAATAAAACATCATTCCCCAGGTGTCACTATAAGAAGTTGTGTGTGTACCTCCATGCACATGTGTGGGTTTGACCTGGGAAATTTCCAGAGCCTAGAACAATTCCACATAATCGAACCCCATCTCCTCCCTAGTCCCCCATGAAAAGGTTCATCATGATGTCCTAGGGAGATTCAGGCTCTTCTCCTTCCTCTCAAGAATTTCAGATTACTTCCAGCTGCTTTTCAGGTGATTTCAAGTGACTCCTGAATTATGAAAGGCTATTTCTAATTCATGAGAAATACTTCTGCCCTCTTAGTGTCCATTATCATATATCCTGTACTCACTCTGCTTTTTCAGGCGCGCATACACACACACACACACACACACACACACACACACACACACACTCTTCAGTAATGAGGCATCTCTGTATATTAGTAAGGGCTTTACTGAGAATCTCTCGTACATTTCACCATCAGGATCCCGCCAGCAGCAACACTTCAAGACTTCAAAGGAAGCCAATCTCTTTGACAGTAATGCAGAGAATGACATCCAATGCAAGGTTAAATGGAACTCAAGTCAATTGAAAGGACTCTTAACATTCACTGGGTTTTGATAATTCTCTTGGTTGTCATCTCATTTAAAAACAAAATATGTTTCCACCTAAAATGGGGAGAAGCAGGCAGTTAACAATTTAGTCACACTCAAATCTCTCCACAGGCAAGTGCTCTCCTTCTAACAAAACATTTTGCCCTCCACACAATACAGTCAAATGCAGACTCACAATCTTCCTGTGTAATAGCTGTGCCACAACCCTAATTTCAACATAGGAACAAGACTTAAAATTCATTTCCAAATGACACAAATTCAATAAATTTAGACCTCTACTGTTCTAAGTTCAGAAATCTGCTAATAGATTGAGGGGAGAGGGCGATGCACAGAAAAAAACCCAGACAAACACTGCTGTGGAGGCTAATTAAACATCACATCATAGATTTCTCTCTATATCCATGAACCAAGTGCAGGGTCGTTTATACAGGAGGTGTGGATTTATCCATAGCACTGGATTAATTGACCTATCTTATCATCAGAGGGTAATTAACCAACCAATCAAGGATGACAGAAGTCTCAAATGATCCATTAAATGTTCTAATACATGGAATGGACTATGAGCTCATTACTAAATCATTTCCTAACTTAGTGAGACCAGTTCTTTTCACAAGTGGAAACTTGCAGCGCAGAACAAAATCCTCTACATAGGACCACAATCACCACTCATTGCACTAAGCATATCAGTCTGAAAGTAAGTGAACCTAAACTCAATACCTGACCTTTACAGATGACAAAACCTAAGTGTCAGGAGGAGGCCACAAGATCTGTTCAAAATTAAATAGTTGGTAAATAGTAAAACAGAGATAGAACCCTTATCTTCTGACTCCCACAATGAGTCAAGCTATATTCCTTCACATAAAGCTCACAATTTCTCAACTACTTACCCATCATCAGTGGATTTCATTTAATATCAAAAAAATGTTTTAATTGGGGAGGAAGTTTGGGAGGGGCAGGGGGAGAAACACCCAGTAGCGGTAGTCAGGGCTTACTCCTGGTGTGCCCAAGAGAGATCATATGAGGTGCCAGGAATCTAACCTAAGTCAGTCGTGTGCAAGGCAAGTAACAGCCCCAAAGCTTTTTACAACTTTGTGGCAGGGAGACAATACAGAAGGTAGGGTATTTGCCTTGCACAGAGCCGGCCCAGATTTGAGCGGGCATCCCATGTGGTCCCCCAAACACTGTTAGCAGTAACCCCTGAGCACTGCCAGGTATGCCCCCCCCAAAAGGCCTCTTTTACAACTTTGGGGAAAGATGAATTAAATGAAACCAGTCCTCAATTTTCATTCACTCAATCTCTAAACTTTAATCATGCCAAAATCTTTCCAACAACAATGCAATTTTCATGGCATAGGGAGGCTCTCCAACATGAGAAAAATTAAACTTGTTACAGGCTATGACAGCAGGAGAAAAGTGAGCAGGGAGAGACAACTGGCATCTTAAAAATTAATCAGAAAGACTAATGAACTAAAATGAACAATCACCATGTGCTCTACCCCTTGAGCTGTCTCAGGCTGTCTGCAATCTTTAACCATTAAAAACAAGCGTTACCCCCAAAAGTATCTCTGCACACAAACTATTTTCCCACGGTGTATTGTGCATGTATATGTAGGATAATACATTCACAGTAGTCGTTCATTTATTTTGATATTTATTGCATTAGAAGTATACTTATAGCTTACAGCATTTAAGTTTATAGTATTTATACAAAAGACTATATGAACACTTATGTAAGTTCAGCAGTATGTATTTCTATGTGGGAGAAATTTCTAGCACTGTAGTTCCTAATAAAAGGATACGAGTTTTCCCATTTTATAGACTCTGACATATACTCTCCATTAACATACCTATTTTTCACTCAAACTCCATATGAAGCAGGTTATAAAACTTCTCATCTTTGCCCATCTAATAAATGGCACCTAGGTACAGCTGTAAAATAGATACTTCTTATAATAATGAAGTTAAGCATCTTCTCATAATTGGGGGTCGGGGGTTGGGCACATTCAGCAGTGCTTGGGGAACCATTTGGTGCCAGGACTCGAATGAGGATCAGCCCATGCAAATCAAGCACATTAACTCCTACATTATTATCTCTCTAGCCCTCTTCTCATCATTTAAAAACCACTGTTGGTTCCCTCCTACAGAATACTAGAGCATTTAGTACAATTTCTTCACAGATTGTTGGACTTTTTGTCATGAACCTATAGAAGCTCTTTATCGGGGAGATCAAAATGTTGATATGAGAAATAAATCTTTCCTTCATTTTCTTATTCTTTATCTCAATGCAATTATTTTTGCCATTCATTGTTAATAAGGGCTTTTTTTTAAAAAAAAAAAAGTGTCATCTCAAGTTGATTGTCCTCTATTTTAAGTTTTCTTAGATTTATAATTAGCTCAGAAAGGCCAAATTTACCCCAGAATTATAAAAATATTTTTCCTTCTATGATATGCTTTCTTTTAAATTTCATTTAATAGATTGATTTTGGGCTACCTGAAATACTGTTCTAAAATGTTTTTTCTTATTCCCTGAGGTGCTACCTAGTTATCCACTACTAGCTACTAAGCAGAACATCCTTCTCCAGTTAAATTGAAACGCTACCTTTAGTATATGCTAAATATGGCATTTGATATTACCAATATTTCAATTAGTATAACCTTACAGCATGTTTTACTCTCTTTTTCAGAACTATTCTTCCTATTTCCACTTAATTCATTTTTCCGTGTGAAGACAGAATAAGTTTTTCTGTTTCACCACTAAAATCTCTTTATTTTTAGTAACAGAACAATAAACATACACATCAATTTAAGAACTGACATCTTTACCTGGAAGAATATGGCAGGCCCTCTCACACCTCTTATTTTTTACATAAGTTATAAGCATTTTAAGGTATCTTCATGTATGTCATAGATCGTATCTTTTGTGAGGGTGGGTTGGGACCAT